GAACGGAACGTTAAAAAGAATGACCTGCCTTGCATCGATGACGATTATTTAACTTGTGACAGTTTTTTGGCTAAATAATTAACAAATAACGTTTCTTTTCTTTTTTATCTTAAACATGTTTGAAGTTCAGGGATTCAAGAATCGAATTTCAGTTTGTACCCATAGGTAATTTTAGTTTCATAAAGAGAGAATTATGGCAGAGATGCTTTTATTTCAAGTCATTTGCTATGCATGGTAGAAATATGTTATTGATGACGAATGTCACTAAACAGATAATCTATTCAGATAATCAGATACTAGTTACGACTGAACTATCATAAAACTAGGTTAAAAAATCGAAGTTTCCTCCTATGATATTTATTCTGAAGATACTCTGGAACAAAATAACGATTTACTATCAATTACCCAACAATTCTAATTCTCCTTTTTCCAAGAACATTCACAATAAGTTTTTCGTTTCAATATTGTATCAGTAAAGTAGAGTCTTAAAATAGGAAATAGCGATATATGTTCTAAAAATGAGTTAAGTTAATTCTATTCATGTACCAGTTGGCTGATTGAAACAAGTAAAAAATAAGGTCTCTAACAAATAATTGTTAAATCAAAGCACAGAAGGCGCTGAATTTGTTTGGGTCCCAGAATGTCAGAAAGGTGAAGGTTGTGAGATTATAAACCAATTTGTTTTTGTATAGTGCCACCAATGCTTTCCAGTGTTTTAACTGTAGGAAATTGGCTATAAGACTAATTGCAACACTGATATTCAATTCAATGTTTATTTGACTTAAACAATTAAAAAAAATGATTTGCCTTAACTGGGATTTAAACTCCAGACCTCTCGATTCCTAAGCGAGCGTGCAAACCCCTCGACCACTGTGAACTTATATGTTAATGGCTTGAAGAAAACCATATCATTCTAAATTAAAGTTTGTATCTCTCATTATTTCGACGCTAACACAGATGTAAATAATCATGGAGCTTACTATACGCATGTATATCTATAAAGAATAAACAATATAGAAATATTCGACCATTCGGGAACTATTTTGCTTGAAAATTAATGCACCTGTCATTTGACAATCTTTACGCAGTGATCTCCCCTGAATGTTTCGGCGTAAGTTTACATATAAATGGAAGTAACCGCTTCAAAAACGTGCACTACTTTCGGCATTTGCAATTAACAGCATCAGGGTCTGAAATTTCGATACCATTATTTGTTTGGTCTGACGACCCAAACAAATAAAAAACTAGAAACACTAAATTGCAAAGTATGGCTTTTAACATTTATATCAATATTTCAAAAACTTGGGCATGAAGTAAGTAAATGTTAACTGTATTTTGTTTTTGTATCTATAACATATTGTACAATTTGAACATTTTGACAAGTTGCCTTGTGACAAATTTGAATGCGATGTTGTGAAGTCACGTTGAAAGACTTCGGAGTGATAAATTATAGGGCATTCGAAAGTTTGAAGGTGCATCATTGTTCTACATAGGAGGAAAAAAAGATATTTCTATGATAAGATATTGCACATTAGATGGAGAGGTAAATGTCATGAATTCCTGAATTTACACTACATATATGAAAATATTTGTTTCATTTTTACAAAAGTACCTGGGTAATGTAATTGATGTATTTTTTATAAGAAATGATATACAATGTAGATCTAAAACAGCTGTATATCCAAATATTGCATTACTATGAGTTTATAGGATAACAAAATAACATATGAAAGAATATTGTAATAACAAATAAATGTCTTGTGAGTTGTACGTCTTTAATAATCACTAAATAAAACTTTACCTAGCCAAAACTCTTTATCCAGACTACCAAATCCGTTTTCATATTCAGTTGAATTTCTGTAAAAGTCGACAGAACCATCAAAACGATTCTGAAACACCTGAAAAGAAATGTTTTGATGAATATTAACTACTGCAAGTATTTTTCTTTTTTAAGGGTCAAAAAATAAGTGTTGCACAGAACTTAAATTTGGAATAAAGATCATACCTTCAAAATCGCCATTGTATTTTTGTTTTCTATTTCCAGGTTATGTGGGGAAAAACGGTGATTTCTTGAGGGGAAAGAAAATACTTCAATAATGAAAATTGCAGACAGACTAAAAGATAATTGAATCAATGCTCCCTACGGATTTCATGTCCGATGGTTAAATCTCATTTTAGAATTATGTTGTGCTAGGAAAAACTGTGTAACGTTTGAAACTTGACATAGGGCTGGGTTTTGGTATAACATTTACGAAATGATCAATTGTTCATCAAAGCTAATAATGATCTAAAACTGTATAGTGTCTTGTAATGAAAGTTGGCTTGTAGATTTATAATGTAGCTACTTCTGAAACCGACCAGAAACAAATTTGTTGCTTGAAAGAATATTTTTTGATTGTTTAAAATTTAGGTTACGTGAAAAATCCTTACATTATTAACTCATCCATGTCCATTTGCCACTATAATCAGTCTTGTAAATTTTCGTACATCTACATTTTGCATAATAATGAAAACGACAAGTTTGTGTGAAATCAAAATACCAGTAAACTGTTAACATTTTACCAAAACCTACAAAAGTTGTTTCGCAAATAGGATGTGTTATACCTGTTAAATGTGCAAAATTGAAACTTTAAATGATTATAATACACTAACCGTCCATCCTCCACCTTCTGTCTCCATGTCACAGACAACTGTCAATAAGTCACGTGACTTCCATAGTTTTATTTTATGTTGCCCGCTGATCGCAGTGGGGAAATGATATTGAACGTCTGCACAATCTGTTGCTATAACTGTAAAGAAGAATATGTATTTATTTTCGTTATTTTCAAATTAAAGATTGACAGAACATTAACATATGTTTGACTTTGCTGTATGCGGAAAGATATAATATAAACTAAGGATATTTGTACAATTGGTGGCTGAAAAATAATACAGATTTTTATAGGGACAAAATGGAATTTAAATTCATAAACTTGATTAAAGTCATATTTTAATCAAAGTTTATTGAGTATTTGTAAGAATCAATTTGTGTGCAGTTCATAATTGCAAGTTTCAACTAAACAGTCAGCAAAATGAACCGTTATATCTTGATTTTCTACGTAATGGATGCAGCAAAATGTTAGATTGTATCTGAATTCGTTATTTTTTTCTTGTCAGGTTTATGACAAAAACGAAAGATAACGACAAAGTAGTCATTTAAACCTTTTTCGTTGAATGAAAAATGTATGCTTATACAACATGTCTTGACAGAGCTTATTAGTTTATTGTTACAGTGTGAAGATCCCCGCTAACATGCAATCGTGTATCTGAATGTATAATATTTCTTGATTTATTAAGAATGTGCCAATTTGAGGTTAACTGTTAATTGAAATATATTTTTTTATAATATTGTGCTAGTTTTAATAGTTTAATTATTTATTAACATTTTAGTTAAAGTAATCGTTATTGTATTTAAATACATTTCGGACAGAAATATTATTTGTGTATATTTGATATTTGTAGATTATTTTAGATTTAGAATATGTACTGCGTAGGGGTATGTAATTGAAGAAATTAGAACGGCATATTTTAGTCTAAATAGTCACATAAAATTCTGCTCAGTAATATTGAATAGGAAAAATAAAATTTCTCACGCATTTGTATTATTTCTATACACTTTTAAAACAATGATAATGAGCATATATATGACAATAACCTCTCTCTTTGCATTTGGGATTGTCTTTTCCGGGTAAGCATATTTGTGTTTCAGAACATGGTCGCTGACCACATGATCCAACCATCTCCTGCAATTAAAAGAAAATTGAATGTATTGAATTTGTTTCTTCCTAAATGTATTAAATTTGGTCCTTTTGAAATGTATTGAATTTGTTTCTTCTGAAATGTATTTAATTTGGTCCTTCTGAAATGTATTGAATTTGTTTCTGAAATGTATAAAATTTGTTTCTTCTGAAATGTATTGAATTTGGTCCTTCTGAAATGTTTTGAATTTTATCCTCCTGAAATGTATTGAATTTGTTTCTTCTAAAATGTATTGAATTTGTTTCTTCTGAAATGTATTGAATTTGTTTCTTCTGAAATGTATTGAATTTGTTTTTTCTGAAATGAATAGAAGCTGTTCCTTAGAGTGCATACAATTTTTCTCAACGTTTAGAATTTAGATGTGTGTGTTGTTTTACCATACAATATAAATGCATGCCATTTGCTGTGTAGATACAATAGTTGTTTGCTTATTAGAAAGAAAAGCTTAATTACACAGTGAAAATGCATCTCGTATATATAGAAATACTAGTGTTATGTAATATAAAGCCAAAAGATTAAAACATAACTGAAATGAGATAATTGATTAAAATATCTTGAGTGTTAAAAAAAACAGTTTTGAAGTATCAGTTAAAATCAGAATTAAGGTAAGGATCTGTAAAGACTTTTCTATGTAATGAGTTTATTTTTTTCAGAGGAAATGTCAAGTGTTTTAATTGAAATCGAAAGCTAACATGTAGCTTACAATTTACATTAATTTAGTACATTCAAATGATTCAAGAAAAGACTTGAATGAGATTATTTGAATTATGATTATGTTGACAGCTAAGTTTATGGAATTTTGCATTTTTAAAATGAATTTAAATGTAGCAAACATCGACTAATATCAATATTATTATAGTATATACGAATTTATGAAAACAGTAAAATATTTTAGAAACAATCTGTAATTGAAGAGTATTAAAAGAAAATTAAATTACTTTGTTGGCGAATAAAATGAAACGTTGATTGTATTAACCCTGAATATAATCCTAAAAATACATGTGTATACAAGACATATAAGATTAACTTACAATTGGCCAATCACTTATGTCGGTGAATATAGCCCCATTCTTTACTTCAAATTCGTTTAGTGTGGCAGACAGACTGTCGGCGTCGTTTAGTTTGCATGCACCTTTATAATAATCCAAACTTTTACACGCTGATAATGTAAAACATTCACGAGCACATTCATGATGGTGATTTACAGATATTTCCATAATTGTGTGTCCCGTAAGATGTTTATTTAAATGTTCCTTCTTGATATGAACATTTGCAAATACACATGGCAACGGAATAAGCAGTAGAACTAAATACATCTTAAAATATATTTATTTTAAAACTTTGTATCGTTGAAGAATCTGAAATTAATTTTACTGAAATGTATTCAGTTTTTTTTCTTAATTAGTTCATGATTTTGAAATACATTTATATATTGTCGAAGTTAAGAAACTATAAATGCGAACACTACAAGTATAATGATTTCTCGAACGTCATAATTCTCATTTAGTTCTCTGTATCCATTTCGTTTAGCATCATCATTTGATTATATGCACATTACCAAGTGTGAGGACAGTTTTCGTAATGAAGACAATCAAGGTTCACTTAATTCCTCTTTTAAATAAAAAAAGCGTTCACGATCGGCGATGTGTTATTAGAATTATAATTGACTATTTTACATCAAGAAAATATATGCTCTATGATGCTGTTTTTCAGATCATAATAAATGAGCCTTTTACTTTTAATGATGGTAGACTGTACACTTATGTCTAAGTGACATACAAAAATAAACGATTTGTCAAGATAAACTATTCCGACTACCTTCACGTATTTAATCTGTATTTCCGATCATAATTACCTCAGTGTATTCCCCTTACAGGCTTAATTGATCACATGGGTACAAGGTTTAAAACGCAATAAAAAAGATCTGACACAATTTCCGTTTATATTTAATATTTCATCGTTTCCCTGTGGTCAAAATATGTTTTGTACTGATAGAAATGTCAGATGACGTCAACAAAATTCCCCACAGATTCAACTACTACTACTAATGACATGTTTTATATTCACTTACAAAATTATTGTAAATGCTATTCTGATACCTAAAGAATTCCTCGATTCCAATGTCACAGTTCTGAAATATTTATAATTCTTTAAGTTATGTTTGAAAATATAATCTGTTTGCAACAAGATTAATCTGTTTTCAAAAACATGTAATGAATTATGAAATTATATTTTGACAAGATTTTTTGGTGCCTGTTTAATTTCGCATTGGGAATCAATTTAAGTCGTGAAAAATAGATCTCATATGTATTCATTAATGTTAGGAGATAACATATATAAAAAGCACACAGTGGCGCAACTTTGTTTTTGGTATGCTGAAATCATTTTGAAACAGACCAAAATGAAAAAGCAAGGTATCAAATATTTTAAATGAAGTGCACAAGCACTATGAGCATTTTTATGTCTTGAGTGAACGTTTGTCTTTATTCACATTATTCATTTAAAAAGACCAATAAAATATAATCATAATTAGTTTGTAATAAAACAATTCAGCTTTAACTAGACTTCAAAGGAATGAGTTCAAGCGAGTTATTAGTTTGAAATAAACTAGTTTAGGTTTAAGTAGACTTCAACGGTATGCGTTCAAGCGAGTTTACGAATATTACGTGCCTGAATACTTATGTTAAATATTCTTTTTGCAATTAACTCTGTATAGAAAGAAGAGATTTTTATTGCAGTTGAATCTCTGGGTAATTTCATAAACTCACTTAATGACTGACCCATTTCAAAGTAGATAAGCCTACTAAAGCCAATGTTTTGTTTATTGAACATAACAATAAAAAGTAGTATAGGATAAATACTTCATTAACATTTTATAAAGACTTTAAAACAAATATTCTACAAAAGGTTAATCAATTCCAGTTTCGTGCATATTTTCGATACTTTCACTTTCCCGATAATGCGTTTTGAACCAGAAAAGGGATATCGTCATATTATAATATATACTTCTCAATACTCATGTCTTTTCTTAACTCAAACGTTTCAAATACAAAAGTAAATTAATTTATGAAATACCAGAATAGTAGATAAAAATTACAAAAAACGGGCTTGATAATAGAAAAGTACTTTACAAATGCAATGATTTTGTGACTAACAATCTTTTAAGAAAATAAAATCACCAATGTATCCGTCTTAACTATTTTCACCCTTCCATCTACCGTGTCTTTTCCAGCAACGGTCATTTATGCCAGCGTTTCCGGCTGTGGTAGCAAGTAGAAGTGAATGAATACCTATTGTCAAATCTTAAACGACATCTTTTAAACGAAAAATAAGACATTATTGCGTGTAACTGAGAGGCTTATCTTTGAAAATAAGTCAACAAATGTTTGTGACTGATAACATTACTGAAATAAAATTGTTCCATCTATAACAGATAAACTTGCAACATGCATGTGAAGTTGTTACATTGTGTTAAACAGAAATTGTCTGATTTATATTTGAATGAGTGGTATTCTATTGTTAGTAATTCTAGTAAATGTAAAAACTACCGATTATTCAAGGAAACGTTCAAATTCGAACCATACTTAGTAAATACACCTTATAACCTGCTTAGATATGTTATTAAATTTCGAACACGCAATAAAAGACTTCCAGTAGAAACAGGAAGCTGGAATAGGACAGAACTTCACCACCGAAAGTGCACACTTTGTAATTGTCTTGGTATCATTGGTGATGAATTTCATTATCTATTAGAATGTAAAGAATTTTCTGCACTTAGAAAAAGGCATTTAGATCACCAATATATAAGAAAACCTAATATTATGTTATTTAAATCTGTTATGAATATAGATACAAAACATTATGATAAGTACAAGCATTTTTGTTTATTTGTTAAAGAAATAATTATTAAATTTGATATTAGATAAAGTTGCAATCTGATGTACATCTTAGAATTATTACAAAAATGTGTGCTTTGCTATTAAGATCTGTCGCATATTAAACATTTTTACAACTAATATTTAAGTAACGGAAGTTTAAGATCATGTTATTTGAGTATATGACTGATCTCTTTGGCAAAGCATATATTTGTAACATTATTGGTATTTAATTTAAACATATGGAATACAAAATGTCTCTCCCTCGTATGAAAATACGAGATATGTCTATGCATGTCATATATGCCTCTATAGTTTATTATGTAAATATGTTATAGCTCATATTGTCATGTTATTCATGAACTGAGTATTAAATAAACTTGTAATAAACTTGTAAACTTGACAAGCTACAGGCTCGCCTATAGAAATAAAGGTACGGACTCCATGGGTATTGGTCAGATTTGTCTTTTTCTTATACGAATAGATATATGTGAATCATGAAAATGAACATCATTACACCTAAGGCTAATTAATTCATCAAACCTTAAAAAACCTGCAAACGCTATTAGAACCATTGCTAAATCATGTTAAACAAGAATATCGTCACTTTGAATGTATTTATCACACAACATTATTAAATTGTCATTTGTTACATGATCATTCTTTGTGTTAGGCTTTGTCAACAGTTCAAGCAAATTTTTCACAAACAAGTTATCAGTAGGATCGTGTAAATTTCTCAAAAACATGAGCCCACTTTAAACTTTATACAGCATTTGAAAAGATAGAACTAGATGATTGTTTGTCAATTAAATCCGTATGATACAAGGCAATATGAGCACATAAAAGTAATATCATATATTGTTTATTAAAATGATTACATAAAATCGAAAATGAACGATATCGGTCAGTATATTTCAATGTGAGTGGAACATGCGGATGATCGTGACAAAACCTAATAAAATTAGGAATATACATGTGGAATATTTAATTCTGTTTATAACAATATTTTTGTTCATTAATTTACATAGACATCTCATGATAAAAAACGGCCATATGGTTATGAAACCAACCTAATTTTACTGGTTTTTTATTGTTTTTTGTTGGTTGTTGTTG